AGCCTCCAAATGTTTGCATTCCTTCCAAATTTCCTCTTGTGATTGAGTTCAAGTTTCAAAGCACTGTGGTCTGAAAATATGCAGGGAAAAATCTCAATCTTTTGGTACCAGTTGAGACCTGATTTGTGATCCAGTATGTGATCTATACTGGAGAATGTTCCATGTGCACTCAAGAAGAATGTGTATTCTGTTGCTTTAGGATGGAATGCTCTGTATATGCTCTGTGAAGTCCATCTGGTCCAGGGTGTCATTCAAAGCCCTGGTTTCCTTGTTGATCTTCTGCTTAGATGATTTGTCCATTGCTGTGAGCAGTGAAGTCCTCTAGTATTATTGTATTATCAATGTGTTTAATTTTATTATTGATTTGTATAATTGGCTGCTCCCAAGTTAAAGAGCATAAATATTTATAATTATTAGATTCTTGTAGGATAGAGCCTTTAATTATGACACTATATCATAGTGTCAACCTTTATTACAGTCTTTGGTTTATAATCTAATTTGTCTGATATAAGGATTGCCACCCAGCTTCCTTTTGATGTCCATTAGCCTGATAAATGATTTTTCAGCCTCCCCACTTTCAATCTGGAGGTGTCTTTAGTTAGTCCATTACAGACAGTGAGTCCATTATAGACAATATATGGATAGGTCCTGCTTTTTTATCAAATCTTACACCCTGTGTCTTGTGATTGAAGCATTTATCCTATTTACATTCAGAGTAACTATTGAAAGATATACATTTAGTGCTATTGTATTACATGTAAAGTACCTATTTCTATAGATTATCTTTGTTTCTTTCTGTTAACTGTTACTCTCGGGTGCTCTCTTCACTTACAGGGCCCTGATTTAATGATCACAAATTGCTTTAGTTTCTGTTTGTCCTGTAAGCTCTTTATCTCTTTATCTCTTTATCCATTCTGAATGACACACTTTCTGGATAAAGTATCCTTGGCTGTATGTTCTTCTCATTTAGTACCCTGAATATATCATGTCAGCCCCTTCTGGCCTGCCAGGTCTCTGTTGATAGGTATGCTGCCAACCTAATGTTCCTACTCTGTAGGTAAAGGAGCTCTTGTCTCAAGCTGCTTTTAGGATTTTCTCTTTATCTCTGAAATTTGCAAGCTTCAATATATATGTAGGGGTATCAATCTATTTTTATTGATTTTGAGGCAGAGTTCTCTCTACCTTCTGGACTTGAATACCTGTTTCCTTCCCCAAATTAGGTTAAGTTCTCAGCTATGATTTGTTCAAATATACTTTCTATCCCTCTCTTTCTTCTTCCTCTGGGACTCTGATAATACTAGTATTATTTTGCTTTATAGTATCACTGATTTCTCAAAACCTCCTTTCATGGTCTATTAGTTGTGTTTCTCTCTTTTCTTCAGCTTCCTTCCTTTCCATCAACTTGTCTTCCATGTCACTGACTCTCTGTTCTGCCTCATTTACACTAGCTGTTAGAGCATCCATTTTAGACTGCATATCAGTTAAACCATTTTAATTTTAGCCCAGTTAGATTTTATTTCTGCACTAAGAGATTCTCTAATGTCTTCTATGCTTTTTTCAAGCACAGCTAGTAACTGTATAATCATTATCCTGAATTCCGGCCCCAACATTTTACTTATACCCATATCAGTTAGATCTGTAGCACAGTATTACCTCTAGTTCTTTCTTTCATTGTGAATTCCTCATTTTAGTCATTTTGCCAAGAGTAGAATAGATGAATGAGAGAACAAAATCAAAAATATCAAGCATGACCCAAGAGAAGTACACACTAGACAAATCCAAGAGGTCAGAAACCAAAAAAGAAAAAAAAAAGTGGGGGGAAAGAGAGACTATAATCTCACAGGTGGACAAAACAGGGTGATCCACTTGATCCTGGGTGTATTTTGGTCCGTTTGTTAGAGGACACTAAATCCCAAAATTGTAAAGAAAGTAAAATTTGTATACATACAAAAATAAAATTGGATACAGTGAACAGAAGCCAAAATGTAAATGTAAAAATGAAAATTTAAAAAAAACTTAAAAACAAAAAGTTGATAAAATAAGAAACTAGTTGAAAAGGAAAAGAAAAAAAAAATTTTAAACTGAAAGACTAAAGACTCATGTAAAAAAGCCTACAATTCTATATACTATTGCCCTTAGTCAGGAATTTTTCAGTTCTGAGTGTGAGCTATAAACTTGGTATTTGCCTGATGATCCTTCTGGTCTTCTGTGGAAGGGGCCTGATTTACTGATTCTCAGGTGTCTTTGCCTGAGTGGAGCTGAACCACCCCTCGCCAGGGTGCCAGGCTCAGCATAAGCTGCTTTGGGTTGTTCTATGTGGTTTTTGTTCCCTGAAGGCTTTTTCTACCATTTTAGAGAATAGAAAAAAAGTAAAAAATGGCAGCACCCCAATGTCCAGTCCTGGAGCTGAAAGATCCCGGCCCCCACTCTTCAGTGTACCCTCACAGAAAGGCAGTCAATCCCTTTCCTGTAGGCCAAACTCCCCAGACTCCTGTGGTGCACACCCACACCAATCCTCCCAGAGGAGGGTGATATGTCTCACTTCCACTCTGCTGTTCACTGGAACCTGCTCAAGGAGCATTTGCCCAATTGTGCATGCACTCCCACTGCTTCTCTCAGGGGAAGGAGCTGGATTTCACAGTGGTTGTCACTTGTTGGGCCCCTGCTCTGACAGCAGTCACTGACTGTGCTGTGGTTTGCAGTTTATGGCAACTCCTAGTTGAGAAGTCACTCAGCAGCTCATTAGCCAGCTTCCCTGCTCCAATGTTAGGGAACTCTGCCACATTTAAGCTCCCCCTTTCTTTCTGTGATGCTGGGGATCCAGAGACCACACTGTACCACCTAGGATCCCACCCAGCTTTACCATCTGACCACCTTTCAGGCAGGGTCATTCCTCACAGAAGCAGACTTCTAAAAATTCCAGTTTTGTGCTTCACTGCTATATCACTTTCCGGTAGCCCAGTGACAGAGGTTCCTTCTCCCCATGATTTATCTTCTAATATATCCCCTCAGATTCACATCTCCACACCTCCTACCTTGCAAAAAGTAATCACTTTTCTATTTGTAGAATCACAGCAATTCTTTTCTTACATCTCATGTTGAATTCACATGTGTTCAGAATGATTTGATAGTTATCTAGCTAATTCAAGGTACCAGATAAAACACTGGTACCCTAATTTTTGGCCATCTTCCCTCTCTCCTACTTCTGAAGTCATTAAGGCTTAAAATTATACCAAGACTTTTGCCACACCCTATCTTTAACAGAATTTTCAAGGATGTAATTGTAACAAGTTGTATAAGGAGGCATCAATGGAGGAGGCTCTAAGTTCCCAGTATCACATGCCAAAGTAATGGGTGAGGCACTTAAAAAAAAGAACACAACCAAGAAAGAGCACTAAAACCTTTCACTGATATGGACAATATAAAAGGATCAGGAAAGAAGACTGAGAAAGAGTATTTCTCTGCAGAAAGCTACCAGGTGCCTTGAGCCATATACGGACCCTTAAGGGAGAGGAGGATATCCTTGCCCTGATCTCAAGCCTAGAGAGAGGCATTTTAAGGTCAAGTAAGACTTTTCCTGTATAACTTATCTTTATTCCCTCTCTTCCCAAACACGTGGAGAACAGAAACTACAACTAGTTAGTTAGAAAGGAGTTAATGAAAGAGAAAAACCAATCATACATAACCCCTAGCAGGTTCCAGCTGGTAAACTGGGTGGGAGGAAAAAGGGGAGAAGTCTTAACTTAGAATAAAAATTAAAATATTAACTGTTAATATTTGACAGGAAATTTTAATTTTCAATTAGGACAGTGCTTCTAAGTCAAATTGAATTGTTATCTGAGAGTGATCAAAAAAGTCATGGTTTACTCTAGTTTTTAATCCAGGAGCAAGGGTAAAATAAGCTTCAATTAGCAAATATAAATGAATCGTAAGTGTCCAAATAAAAGTTTGTGATTTCATTCTACAAAACGTGCTTTGTCAACATACAAGTTTGTTGTTTTTTTTTTTTTGACAGGTAGAGATCACAGGTAGACAGAGAGGCAGGCAGAGAGAGAGAGGAGGAAGCAGGCTCCCCGCCGAGCAGAGAGCCCGATGTGGGGCTCAATCCCAGGACCCTGGGACCATGACCTGAGCCGAAGGCAGAGGCTTTAACCCACTGAGCCACCCAGGCGCCCCAACATACCAGTTTTGTAACTAATTTAACCTTAGTCCCCTGAAAGTCATCCACAGTGACTATTCTAGGTACCTAACATAAGTGAAATCTTATAACAAAATAACTTTGTCTTCTTGTGACTGGCGTATTTTACCTAGCATAATAGCCTTAAGGTTCCTTCATGTTGTACCATATGACAGAATTTCCTTCCTTTATAAGACTAAATAATATTCCATTGTATATATATATCACATTTTATCTATTTATCTGTTTTCAGACACTTGGGTTGCTTTCACCCTTTGCTACTGTAAATAGGGTTACAGTGAACATGGGTGTATAAATATCTTTGAGATCCTGATTTCAGTTTTGCAGGGTTTCTAATCAGAAATGAAATTACTGGATCATATGGTAATAACATTTTTAATTTTTTTTTAAAGATTTTATTTATTTATTTGTGAGAAAGAGAGAGAGAGAAAGCACACAAGCAGGCAGAGAGGCAGGCAGAGGCGGAGAGAGAGGCAGGCTCCCCGCTGAGCAAGGAGCTCAATGCGGGACTCGATCCCAGGACCCTGGGACCATGACCTGAGCCGAAGGCAGCGGCTTAATCCACTGAGCCACCCAGACATCCCACATTTTTAATTTTTTGAGAAACTTAAATACTGTTTTCCATTGTGGCTATACAATTTCATATTCTGCCTGATTATAATTTTAAAATTACACATATCACAAAAATTGACATAAGAACACTAAATTTTTTAACAGTGCTCTTATTTATGCTTCTAATTTTTCTAAAATGAATATCTACTCATTTTCAAAATTAGGAAAAGGAGTTATTTTAAAAGCTTACCTCTCCAACATATTTGACTGTTTTTCAAATATTTTCAACATGACATTCAATCGACTCATCAGCGAAAATGTAGTTTCTATCATGAAAAAAATAAAAAAATTTAAAGGTATTACAAATGGCTAAAGTTATACCTCTATGCTGATATAACTCACTGTGATACATGTGATAAATAGATGAGCATAACAAGGAGACACTCAAGGAACAAATGCTTATGATAGTTACCATTTTACTAAATTCCCATTATGTCACTATGCTACAATTCTCTTAATCCTCAAAATAACTCAAAAAGAAGATCTTGTCACCATTTTCAAATAAATAGAGTCTCAGAGAGGTTCTATAATTTGATCAAAACTATACATCTAGTAAGTGACAAAACTGGATTGAGGTCAGTGTGTGTGACCTCCTCATAACATTACATACAAGAGGACTCTAAGATGCTAAAAGAAAAGTTGCCGCCTCTAAGTCAATAAGGTCTATGGGAAGATGCTAACAATCCCAATAAGTTTTCCACCTGAATCAGATAACGCAAAAGGTTAACTAAAATACTACTTAAAAGGAAACCAAAATAGGGATGTCTGGGTGGCTCTGTCCGTTAAGAATCCACGTTCAGCTCAGGTCATGATCTCAGAGTCCCGAATTGGACTCCTTTCTCAGGGGGGAGACTACTTCTCCCTCTGCCTGTCACTCCCCTTGCTTGTACTCTCACTCTTTCTTGGCAAATAAATAAATAAAATCTTTATTTTAAAAAAAAGGAAAGGAAACCAACATAATGAGAATCCAAACTAATCAATGAACTCTCAGGGTAATAACACAAGATTCTTCAATCTTATGACACAGAAAGTATTTAAGAGAAGACAAACTTCACTAAGTTTGCTGCTAGATAAACCAAACATGAAATGGACAAAGATAATGTTAAATAACATGGAAGCAGTCAAAAGTTCCTATATAGCAACTATATTTTTTTCTATTCTACATGTCAAAATAGTGGTACAGAGAAATATAATAAATGTTTAGGTGCTGAGAAGAGAAAGGAAGAGGACAGAAATCAGTTGGACTTAAAGAATGGAGACTTTATTAGAAAGAAACAGGCAAAATCATAAGTAAAGACAGGAAAAGTACAAAAGGGCAACATATATCAAGGGAACCAAATAAGACAAGTATACATGATCTCATGGGTCGTGAGATCAAGCCCTGAGTTGAGCTCCCTGGGCAGAGGGGAGTCTGCTTGAGATTTTCTCTCTCTCCCTCTGCCTTCTCCCCTCATTCATTCTCTCTCTCCCTCTCTCAAATTAATAAAATCTTTTTAAAAATAAAATAAGTATATAAAGAAACCAAGTAAACCAAAAGCTTTGCTCTAGGAAGGTCAATACTCCTTAAACATTCAAATGTATATTAAAAGTCAGCTTTAGAAAAATCAAATTTAGAACTTTTTATAGGGAAGAGAGAATATTTAAAATGCATAAAATATGAGGCTCCTGGGTGGCTTAGTTAAGTGTCTGCCTTCGGCTCAGATCATGATTTGGGATCCTGGGATGGAGCCCTGCATCAGGGCCCCCACTCAGAGGGAAGTCTGTTTCTCCCTCTCCCTCTGCTTCTCCCCCCTAAAATCACACTCTTTCTCAAATAATTAGTCTATAAATAAATAAATAAAATATTATACCATATCACTTTAGGATTAATTTGAACATAACATAGAGCATGATTTAAAATTATGCCTTGGATTTGGTAAAGGATTACAAAGAACATCCACTGTTACCTCTGTCACAATTTTATTTATTTATTTATTTTTAATGATTTTATTTATTTATTTGACAGAGATCACAAGTACGCAGAGAGGCAGGCGTGGTGGGGGGAAGAAGGCACATACAGGTAAATATGACACATATAAATAGGTAGAGATAGGTAAAGCTGACACCTATAAATATAGCTAGAAACGAGGAAGAAACACAGGTGCTACCAATATCAGCCACAGAGTCTGAGTCTCTATGGTTTCCTGTGACCTGCTCCACAGAAGACCTCGGCAGCTTCCGTCACTGAAGAAACCAATGGCCAGCACAGCCACTGAGAACACTCTGCAAATTTCACTGGGTTTTGTCCCACAAGTATCTGCATTGGCTGATGCCCGTTGCCTGAGTCCCTTACCAATCCCCACTACACACACACACACACACACACACACACACACACATACATACACCACCACTGGAGGCCAAGACCCACACCAGCAGCCAGCCCAAGACTCTGGCTGTGCAAGTGCAAACACCAGCCTAGTTCCCCATAGCTAACACTCACTGCCATGTGTTCACTCAGGGCTAACCCCTCCAGTTGTACACCTGCATGCTTCCATCTCAACCCATCACTAGCTTCTACTGCCATGTGCATGCCCAGAGAGATACTGGGCTGTCACAGAAGAGTGCTTCCAGCAGTCAGATCCCCACAGCTGTTTCCAGAGCCAGAGCAGGCCCCTGTCTTCGGTCACTGTCCAGCACCACTGTGCTCACTTGTAGCTAGCCCCTCCAACTGTATACCTGCACACCCCTGGCCCATTATCAGCTTCCACAGCTGTGTGCCTGTAGCAAAACCCAGAAGCCACAATGGCGCACACAGAGAGCCAGGTTCCCCAAGCTGTCTGTGTGCCCATAACTGTCCTCAGCCCTTGCTGTCTTCCCTGGGCCCCACCACTATGTATGTGTTTGCAGTTGGCCGCTGCCACACACACACACCTGCTGCTGCCTTCAGCCAAGAGTGCATACACCAGCACTGGCCATACCACTGTCTGCCCTGGTCCCTTGTGGTTGGACCTGGAAACAATGCTGAAGACCACAACAGCCTCTGACATCTCTGTAGACGTCTATAATATTTGCCAAGGACCATGCAGTTGTTGTTGATGTGGACTGCAACAGCCTGAGCCAACAACTCACAATACCTCCCGACTAGTTCTGCCACATCCCCCCCCATACTTGACACCAGAGCATAGGGTCATTACATACTCCATCATCCCCACACCTGCAGCTGAAGATCTTTCCTTACTGAAATCAGTCTATAAAGCCTAAAAGAGACAACTGCTTCTTAAATGTGCAGACAACTATGTAATGATACAGAGATCACAGAGAATCAGGGAAACATGACTCCACTAAAGGAATACAACAAATCTACAGTAACTGGCTCCAAAGAAATAAAAATACAGGACTTGCCCAACAAAAAATTCAATATAATTTTTCTGAAGATGCTCAGAGACCTATAAGAAAACACAGATAAACAATTTCATGACATAGGGAAAATAATACAAGAGAAAATGAGAAGGTAAACAAAGAGAAATCATTTAAAAATAGAAGTTTTGATGCTGAAGAACACAAGGAAAACACAATGAAATAAACAACAAAAAAAAGTGGGACTACATCAAACTAAAAAGTTTCTGCACAACAAATGACAACATCAACACAATAAAAAGGCATGCTATGGAATGGGGAAAATACTTGCAAACCATGTATCTGATAAATTAATATCCAAATATATATTTTTTAAAACAATTAAAAATGGACAGAGGACCTGAATAGACATTTTTCTGAAGAAGGCATACAAACAACCAACAGATACATGAAAATGAGCTTGACAACAATAACTATCAGGGAAATGTAAATCAAAACAACAATAAGATACCATCTCATACCTGTTAGAATGGCTATTATCTAAAAGACAAGAGGTAACATTTGTTGATGAGGTGTGGAGAAAAAGAAACCCTGGTGCACTATTGCTGGGAATGTAAAGTGGCACTGCCACTGTGGAAAACAGTATGGAGTTTCCTCAAAAAATTAAAAATAGGACTACTGTATGATCCAGCAATCCCACTTCTGGGTATATATCCAAAGAAAATGAAGTCACTGTCTCAAGGAGATAGCTGCTCTCCCACATCCACTGCAACATTATTTACAATACAACAGCCAAGACATAGAAACAATCTAAAAAATGATGAAAATATGTTTGATATACACACACATATATATAAATGTATATGTATGTACATATACATACTCATACACACACAATGGAGTATTATTCAGCCATAGAAAAGAAATCCTATTTGTGACAACACAGATGACACAGTGAAATAAGTCAGAAAGAGAAAAACAAATACTATGTGATGTCACATGTGGAATCTAACAATATTGAAAAAGAAACAGAGAGTAGAATGAGGGTTTCCCAGAGCTGTGGCATGGGGGAAATGGGGAGATGTTGGTCAAAGGGTACACGTTTTCAATTATAAGTTCTTGGAATCAAATGTACAACATGGTGACTATGGTTAGTAGTACTGTATTGTATACTTGAAAGCTGCTGTTAAGAGTAGAGCTTTAATGTCCTCACCATAACAACACCAATAACAAAATGGTAATTACTTGAGATACAAGATGAATAAACTTCCCTTATTGTAGTAGGCATTTTGCAACATATACAGATCAAATAATTTTGACCACCTTAAACTTATATATGTCAAGTATATATCAACAAAGCTGTGAAAAGGAGTTTAAGGATATGCACATCCATAACTTATATAAAGAAAAGCTACTTTTCAAAGTGATTGTGCCAAGCACCTGGGTGACTCAGTCAGTTAAGCGTCTGCCTTTGGTTCAGGTCATGATCTCAGGATGCTGGGATTGAGTCCCACCCACATCAGGGTCCCCTCTCAGCACTCTCTCTCTCCCCCCTCTCCCCACCCCCTCAAAAATAAATAAATAATTTTTTTTTTTAAAAAGTGATTGTGCCCTCCCTTGGTGTATATATGAGGAGTTCCTGTTAGTATATACCCTTGTTAACACTTAATATTGTCACACTTTTTAATTTTTGACAGTCTGAGAGGTATGAAACAGTTTTCCATTGTGGTTAATTTGCAATTCCTTGATTATTCAGTCTTACTGGCTATTTGGATTCCTTCTTTGGTTAAATTTCTATTTATTTTGCCTGCTTTTATTGAAATAATTGTCCTTTTTTCTGGATTTAAAGTAGTTCTTTGTATTTTCTGTATACTAATAATTTGACAGTTTTCAGTATTCAAAAACTCTTTTTCCACTCTGATTTATT